GGAGGAGGGAAGCAGGTGGGAGAAGGAATCCACCATCTGGAGGGCACCCACTGTGCTCTGAGCCCACCAGGCTTAGTGGTCCTGGCTCTTGGCTGACTCAGGGCAGGTGTGCATCGCGGCATGGAGGAAACACCCCTGCTCCTTCTCTGCCAACTCAGATCCTCCGAGGCCCTGCTGGTGCACCCCTTTGTGAGGACCCTGCTGAGGTCCAGGGCCAGGGCCAGGAGAGAGCACCCTCTTCTACTACTGTGACTGGGAGTGGAGGACCACTTACCTTAGCTGCCTCCTGCTGGGGTAAATGGACCCTCGGCCCCCCACAGTGTTGCTGAGGGTGTGGCAGGCAGGCCTGGTACCCTACTGGTTCCTACGTCAGGCTCTACGTTTTCTCTGGCTTTAGTCTTCTCTCCACGGTCAAATATGCTCTTCTAAGGTCAGAGACTGTGTCATCATTTCTCTTCCCCCAGACCCAAGAGCTGGGCCCATCCCAAGCACGTGATCCATGGAGCTGGCTGAGTGGTGTGACGCGTTGGTCAGCACCTGAGTGGTGTGATGCATTGGTCAGCACCTTCTGGCAGCTTCTCAGCCCACGCTGATGCCCAGACCTTTAGCACTGGGCCTGGCATCTCCTGGATGAAGGGCTGGGGCAGGCAGTGAGCCGATGAGAAAGGAGGCGAGAGTGTGTGTGAGTGTGTATGGTGTGTGAGCATGTATGGTATGTGAGTGTGTACGCATGTGAGTGTGCAAGTATATGAGAGTTGTGTGTGTGTTGGTAAGTGTGTGAGAGTGTGAGTGTGTGGATGTGTGTGGGTGGTGCCCGAGTGCTGATGGCAGAGGTTGGAGCACTCCCAGAGACCCCACTGCGGGAGTCAGTGTGACCCCTGGCTTGGCAGCCAGCTGAAATCTCTGCTCTTCCACTTCCAGGCAGTTTAACTCCGGGCAAGGCTGTCGCTCTCTGTTTGGCACTTGGTGGCACTTGGTGAACTTTGGTGACCTTGAAGGCCATTTCAGTTCTGAGGGTGATGTGTCCGTGTTTGGACCTGAACTCCAGGCCCACAATGACACCAGGTCACTGGGGTTTTTGTCCAAGATCCCGGGGTCCCCTTTCCCCATCTGTGGGGTCACAGTGGGAGTGTCAGTTTCCCTCTCCCAGGTCTGTCCCTGCTCTCACCTCTGGGCCAAGTGACAGGAGGAGATATGGCTCTGCTTCTGCTGAGACAGGGAATCTCCTGCCCTAGTGGAGCTCAGGCAGAGGCAGGCCCTCTCTGGGCTCCTCTCACCTCAACAGAGGCCCTACAAGTGAGGCCCATGGTCAGCACTGAGGGCCACACCACAGCATCCCAGGAGGTCCCTATTTTGGTGCTCAGACCTCTCCATCCTCCCTCCAGCCCCTGGTGCTGGACCAGGCTCTCAGACCAAGGCCGTGTCCACCTGTAGAGCTGTGGGAGGTGGTGATGATTGAGCTTCCTGGCCCCTGCTTGTAAGACATTGTAGGAGTCTGGAGACAGCCGGAGCTCCGGGTTCTAGTCCCAGCTCTGCAGCTTACAGCCAAGTGACTTTGGGTGAATCACTGCCTCCTTCTTGTCCCCCATCTGCTTTCCTCACTTATAGGTTTGATTCAAGGATCAAGAAAGTGATGTAGCCCGGCACAGTGGCTCAGGCCTATAATCCCAGCACTTTTGGGAGACTGAGGTGGAAGGACTGCCTGAGCCCAAGAGTTTGAGACCAGGCTGGGCAATATAGTGAGACCTTGTCTCTACCAAAAAAAAAAAAAAAAAAAAAAAATCAGCTAGGCATGGTTGCACACACCCATAGTTCCAGCTACTTGGGAGGCTGAGGCAAAAAGATTGCCTGAGCCCAGGAGATCCAGGCTGTGGTGGGCTGTGATCAGGCTGCCACAGTCTAGCCCGGGTGACTGAGTAAGACCCCAGCTCAAATTTAAAAAGATAAAAATAAAAAAGATAAAAAGAACGTAATGTAAATGTGAGATGCAGAGTTGCTCAGAGTGGTGGAAAGGGTACAGGTGGGGGAGCAAGCAGCCCTGGTTTTGCATCTCGGTGCCCGTTGGTTGGTGTCTTGGGAACCCTACCTACCCTCCCTGCATCCTGGCTTCCTCATCTAGCGGACAGGTGGCAGAAGTGATACCTCCTTCATGTCCCCTCAAGAACCCTGTAGCACGTGTCAGGCACTCTGTGCCATGCCTGAGCAGGGAGGTGACCAGGGTACCTCTCACTTTACCCCCCAACTGAATGAATGATGCTGCCAGGCCTGGCCTGAAACCTGTGGACACATGAGAGCGAAGTGCTGGAAACTGATCCCCAGACAGGGCTACTTCCACACGGGGACTCTGAAGTCACTTGTGGCTTTAGTGGCAGGATGGGTTCTCTCCCACCAGCCTGTAGGTGAGTGGCCCTAATTAGGAGAGGCCAATGGGAAGTGGAGGAGTCAGGAATGGGGGCTGGGGTGTTCCTCAGGTGGGGGTGTGGGGTCTGTGTGGGGGTGCCTGTGTGTGGAGCTGGGCTGGCAGGGGAGGATGGGGAGACTGAGGGAAGGGCTGGCTGTCAGAGGGATGCTGGGAGCTTCCTGAATGTTTCTTGGTGGCTGGTGGTGTGGTGACCCCTTTTAAAGATGAGAAAACTGAGGACCAGAGGGGCTAAAAGATCTGCCTGTGCTGTGTAGTCCTCACAGCACCTGCTGTTTCTCTGGCACACACACTTCTGGAGCCCCAGGGGTTCCAGGCAGCCTCTGGAACTGGGATTCGATCCATCAGAGGAAAGAGAGCCATAGGACTTTTAGAATCAGAAAGGACTCGGCAGTCACCCAGTCCAGCCTTGTCACTACTGAGGGGCCCAGAGAGGGGAGGGGAGGGACCTCTCAGGGCATACAACAAGCAAAGCCTTGAACCAGCCCCCTCCCAGAACTGCAGCCCAAGACAGCCAGGATGGCACTACTGGGGTCTCTTTCAGACAAGGCTGCCACAGAGGGATAGGCAGCCCTGCCGATAGGCTGACTCACTGCCCTGAGACGCGGCCGTCACAAAGCCATCCTCACTAAGGCCCTGCTGGCCCCTCGGGCTCCAGGAATGGGAGCTGGGTTCCTGGCCGCCCAGCCTGAGTCACGACGACTCGCGTTGTGTGTTTTGCTCTTGGCCCCACACCCCCAGAGCTGGGTGGGAACTCCAAGCCAGCATGCCACCAAGTGAATCGACCCCGGGCTGAGTAATCCGGAGAGAGGCGTTGGACGGGGCCTGGAGTGATGAAATCCAGGGAACCGGAGTCAGCAGTCAGCAGGGCCCGCCTTCTCTGGGCCATATAAAGGATCCTGGGTTGGAGGCACCCGCAGCACCTTTCCACCTCTGACACCCTCCTCTCCTAACAGCCAGCTGCTCGCACTCACCTTCCTCCTCGGCACCATGACCTCCTGCAGCCGCCAGTTCACCTCCTCCAGCTCCAAGGGCTCCTGTGGCTTCGGAGGCGGCTCCAGTCGCATCTCCTCCGTCCTGGCCGGAGGCTCCTGCCGCGCCCCCAGCACCTGCGGGGGCCTGTCTTTCTCCTCCTCGCGCCTCTCCTCCGGGGGGGCCTGCGGGCTGGGGGGCGGCTACGGCGGTGGCTTCAGCAGCAGCAGCAGCTTTGGGGGAGCCCTGGGTAGCGGCTTTGGCGGAGGATATGGTGCTGGCTTTGGTGCTGGCTATGGTGCTGGCTTCGGCGGTGGCTTTGGTGCTGGTTTTGGTGGCGGCGATGGCGGCCTCCTCTCTGGCAACGAGAAGGTGACCATGCAGAACCTCAACGACCGCCTGGCCTCCTACCTGGACAAGGTGCGTGCCCTGGAGGAGGCCAACGCCGACCTGGAGGGGAAGATTCGAGACTGGTATCAGAGGCAGCGGCCCACGGAGACTAAAGACTACAGCCCCTACTTCAGGACCATTGAGGACCTGAGGAACAAGGTGGGTGGCTCTGTGGATGGAGCACTGAGAGAGGCTGGGGTCACAGTGGCCCTTGGCGACCTCACTCTAGCAATTTCATTTTACAAATAGGGAGACTGAGGCACCTGTAGGGAGTGGCCAGGGTCATGCAGAGGAGTAGGGGCAGAGGGTCTCTCCTTTTCGGCATCCCTGAGTCTGAACTGGGGCTGGAGCCCCTGATCTCGCATTCCCTGCAAGGGTGGCTTGCCCTGAGCTCAGCTTCTCAGCTTTGGGCCCAGGGTGGAGGTGGCTGGGGACATGGGTGCACGCTTGCATCCTGAGCTGGGGGAGAAGGCGTTTAAGCCTGGCTGGGGGTGTGCAGGCCTGCCCAGCCTAACAGGAGACCTCCAGGCCTGGAGAGGTTCTTTTTGGCCCCTCTGCCTTTCCCCCTCATGCAGCAGGACCCTGGGCTGAGCAGGGCTCCTCTTGTCCTTCCATCCTGCACCAGATCATTGCTGCCACCATTGAGAATGCGCAGCCCGTCTTGCAGATCGACAATGCCAGGCTGGCGGCCGATGACTTCAGGACCAAGTGAGCAGCCAGCATGGGGGTCAGAGGGCAGGGGACAAGGAGCAAGGGGCGAGGAGCAGGGCCAGCAGACCTCCGGCCTCCACATCCCTAGGGATGGAACCTGAGGCTCTGACCTCTGTCCTGCCAGGTATGAGCATGAGCTGGCCCTGCGTCAGAGTGTGGAGGCCGACATCAATGGGCTGCGCCGGGTGCTGGACGAGCTGACTCTGGCCAGAACTGACCTGGAGATGCAGATCGAAAGCCTGAAGGAGGAGCTGGCCTACTTGAGGAAGAACCACGAGGAGGTGAGGGTGCTGCTGGCTTTGAGGGTGGGAGGCTGGCTTGAAAGGGGACTGTCAGGTCCTCCCATGGCCGGGAGAGAAATCCGCAGAGCTGATTGCTGACTGCCGCCCCTTCCCAGGAGATGCTCGCCCTGCGGGGCCAGACTGGTGGAGACGTCAACGTGGAGATGGACGCTGCGCCTGGTGTGGACCTGAGCCGCATCCTGAATGAGATGCGTGACCAATATGAGCAGATGGCGGAGAAGAACCGCAGAGACGCTGAGGCCTGGTTCCTGAGCAAGGTGGGCCCTGGACCCCGGACCCCCTGCAGGACCACCCAGTGGAGGTCCCCAGGAGCGCCTCACACTCCCTGTTCTGCTTCCTATCACAGACCGAGGAGCTCAACAAAGAGGTGGCATCTAACAGCGAACTGGTGCAGAGCAGCCGCAGTGAGGTGACGGAGCTCCGGAGGGTGTTCCAGGGCCTAGAGATCGAGCTGCAGTCCCAGCTCAGCATGGTACGAAGGACCCCCGAATCACCAGGACAGGCCACCACCCCGTCAGCACATCATAACTCAGTCCTACCTTCTTCTTCCCAGGAGCGGGGCCTGGAGGGCTCGTGGTACCCATTCTATAGATGGAGAAATTAAGGCCCAGAATGGTGGGATAACTTCTCTCCACACTGTCTGACCCTTCAGGATCCCAGCTAGGGTCTAAATCCAAGCACCTCTCAGGAAACATGCCAGAGGCCTGGAGGGACAGGAGCGACCACCTCCATGGACTGATTTTCTCTCTCTCCCACTTGCAGAAAGCATCCCTGGAGAGCAGCCTGGAGGAGACCAAAGGCCGCTACTGCATGCAGCTGGCCCAGATCCAGGGGCTGATCGGCAGCGTGGAGGAGCAGCTGGCCCAGCTGCGCTGCGAGATGGAGCAGCAGAGCCAGGAGTACCAGATTCTCCTGGACGTGAAGACACGGCTGGAGCAGGAGATCGCCACCTACCGACGCCTGCTGGAGGGCGAGGATGCCCAGTGAGTCCCGGCTCCCATCCCCCCGGCCAGACCTTCACCCGGCTGCTCCCTGCGCAGCTAACAGCCTTACCCTTTGTCTCCCACAGCCTCTCCTCCCAGCACACATCCGGCCAATCCTATTCCTCCCGCGATGGTAAGTCCCCGACTCCCGTACTGGAGCCCCTCTGCCCGCTTCCATGGGGAGGTGGCGGGCCCTTCTCCCCGGAGCCCCCAGCCCTCCCTTCTCCCTGCCCTGGAGGCTGTATAGTCCCTGGCACCCTTCTCACCTCTCCTACTCTCCCCCACAGTTTTCACCTCCTCCTCCTCCTCCTCGTCCTCCGCTGGCCGCCAGACCCGGCCCATCCTCAAGGAGCAAGGTTCATCCAGCTTCAGCCAGGGACAGAGCGCCAAGCACTGAGCCACTTCTCCCAGAGCCTCCGTCCTGCCTGCAGGCCTCACCTCCTGAAGGTCCCAGTCGGGACCCTGCTCAGGCGCAGCTCCCAGCTATCTCCCCTCCCTCTCCGCTGGTGGTGGGCTAATAAAGCTGACTTTCTGGTTGATGCAAACCTGAGTAATCTCTGTTCTTGGACTGGTGGGGTGGGGGAGGGGGTTGAAGGCGACGTCTGGGAGCCCCATAGCCTGAGAGATGCAGGAAACCGAAGAAGACCTGAAGGGTCTCCCTAGAAGACCTCCGTGCCATGTGGGGGTGGGTGGCGGGGCACAGGAGTCTACATACCTTGGGGTCCTGGAGTCTAGTAGCTTGCAGATAGTAACTCCCTTTTTAGGGACTTCAACCCAAAGACTCCAAGGCTTGAGTCTTAGCTTTGTCCCAGGATCTCCACGTCGGCACTCAAGGACTCCTGAATTGAGGCTGGGAACGTGTCCAGTCAGACCGGAAATCCTCACCTGCAGTCTGCTCTTCCTGGCCACTCACCACCCACTCCACTTCCTTCCGTGGTCCCCTCAGCTGGTTAATTACATCTGATGAGTCCCTAGGAATTACCTGTCACCCGTGTCTTCTCACGGTCACCGCAGTGTTCACACTGTCTGCCTCTCTGCCCAGCACTGGGCACAGTCTAACTGGGGCCGCTTGCAGTCCGCCTCACCCACGCTCCATGTCCACCTATTGACCTTTCACAGAATGTAGTCAAGATCTATTCTAGAACAAGGGGGAGAAGATACTCCTGCTTAATGAGCCGTGAAGGTTCCTGTCCCCCTGTAGCACTTGGACCTCAGTCTCAGCCTGGCTTGATGTCCTCCCACGCCTCCCTGGCCTTCACCCATTAGCGAACCCTACCTGACTGAGGCCTGACCCACACCTCTCAGTCACTGTTCCTTCTTCCGGATGCCTTTCATATTTTAAAGATTTAAATCCTCTCTCTCCCTCAATCATCTAACTACTTTTAGAGACGGAGTCTTGCTCTATTGCCCAGGCTGGAGTGCAGTGGTGTGATCACAGCTCACTGCAGCTGCCAACTCCTAGGCTCAAGCGATCTTACCACCTCAGCCTTCCAACTAGCTGGGATTACAGGCACGCATCCCTTCACAACCGACTAATTTTTCTATTTTTAATTTTTGGTGAGACAGGGTCTCGCTATGCTACCCAGGCTGGTCTTGAACTCCTGGCCTCAAGGGATCCTCCCTCTTTGGCCTCCCAAAATGCTGGGATTATAAACGTGAGCTACTGTGTTGGCCTAAGATTTAAATTAAAAAAGAAGTTATGAACGTATAACATTGCAATGGATCCCACCCCTCCACTCCCATCTCTTTCTTTCTGTGTTGCATCCCTTGTTTTATGTTTTCTTATTTCTTGTCCTCCCCACCTTTTTGTTTGAATAAAACACATCATCCACTAGCTTCCCGAGAAAGTATTCACAGAGATACATTTTTCTGAGACCTTTATGTCTCTAAAGATCTTCTTGACTGAGAGTCAAGTTGCTTCACTGGGGAACCATATCCTTAGGCCTTCTCTCCTGGGTAGGGTCTTCCTTAGAAGGGATGCCTCTCCTTTCCTGTCTGGATTGTAAAAGCTACCAGCAACCGGACTCGGTGGCTCAGCCTGTAATCCTGCGCCTCTGGGAGGCTGAGGTGAGTGGATTGCCTGAGCCCGCGGGTTCGAGACCCGCCTGGGCAGCGAGACCTCATCTCTACAATAAATCAAAAAATCAGCTGGGCGTGGTAGCGTGCGCCTGTAATTCCGGCTACTTGGAAGGCTGAGGTGGAAGGATCGCTGGAGCCCAGCAGGTTGAGGCTGCGGTGGCCGGGAGTGGCCACTGCACTCCAGTCTGGGCGACAGAGTGAGACTCCAACTCAAAAAAAAAAAAAAAAAAGCTACAGCTTTCTGGAAGCCATGTGGGGAGAGGGGTTGACAGGGTCTCAGTCTCAGTTAAGCGGCTAATTGATGGTTTTCAGTTTACTACCCCCACCCTTGGCCCTGCTGAGTGTTGCTGGCTTCAGAGTCCCTCTGGGTAAATTCTCCAGTATAAACCTCCACTTCCTGCTGCGGTTGAGGAGGAGGGGCTGGCACAGGGCAGGTGGGGGGCGAGTGGAGTATGGAGCCCCCTGCTTTTGATTCAGACTTCTAACCTTCCTGTTTCTAGCTCATCTGCCCTGATTCTCAGGGGTACCTGGTGCCTCCCATTCCACAGACTTCTCAGAGTTCTGATGTCTGAATCTGCTTTCGTCTTGGTTTTTCCCCGGGCGAGGGCCAAGTTTTCTTTGTGTTGTTTTCCAGATTCCAAAATTTTGTTGCCATAATCTATACTTTCCTGTCCTCTTTGTCTATATGGATTTGATCACTTATGGTAGTTTCCATGGTGTAAATTGGAGGTGAAGGTAAACTGGCTGTTTAACCTGCCAGTTTAACCCCAAATCCCTGCTTTACATGACAAAATCCATTCATCCTTCAAAGTTGTGGAGCCTGAGTCATTACTTTGTGATGGACAATCACTGCTGATTGTTCAGCAAACATGTCTCCTTTTCCTGGTCACTTATCTTGCCCCAGGTCTTAGGTGAGGCTATGGGTCAGACTGAACCCCACAACCTGATACCCAAAGGTAACCACTGACAACATTTTTACATCTCTTATACACACACACACACATATAGTATGTATACAGTCATGTACCACATAATGATGTTTTAGTCAACTAGGATTATATATATGACAGTGGTCTTATAGGATTATAATACTGTATTTTTGTGTACATTTTCTATGTTTAGATACACAAATTTACCGTTGTGTTTCAGTTGTGTTTCAAGCCAGTATTCAGTACAGTCACATGCTGTACAGGTTTATAGCCTAAGAACAATAGGCTATATTATTGAACCGAGGTGTGTAGCAGGCCACATCATCTAGGTATGTGTGAATTCACTCTGTGATGTACACACAATGATGAGAATTGTCTAATCATGCATTTCTCAGGACATATTTCTGATGTTAAGCGATGCATGACTATATATCTATTTTATATATGTATTAAAGAAATATATTTATATATGTTACCAGCTACGATTACAACAATAATTATACTGAATGTGCCATTTTGTATTCACTTTTTATTCATATTGTAAGAGAAGCACTTTCCTGTGTTATTAAAAGTGTTATACATTTTTTATGCTGTTTCTCCTTTTTTGGGTGTTGCCATTGAAAATAAAGCAGCAATGAACGTCTTTCTGCATAAAGTGCTCACAAATATTTTTGATTATTCCCTTAGGCTAGGTTCCCAGAGTATAATTACTAGGTGAGGAAATACAGGTGTTTTAAGTTTCTTAATTTGTATGGGCAAATTGGTTTAAAGAGAAGTTGTGCCAGTTTGCATATCTTGCCATCAGGGAATGGGAGTGCATATTTCAAAACATGCTCAACAATTTTGAGGGTTTTTTTTTTTGTTGTTGTTGTTGTTGTTTGTAGAGAGGGGGTCTTGCTATTTTGCCCAGACCGGTTTTCAACTCCTGGCCTCAAGCAATCCTCCTGTCTCAGCTTTGCAAAATGTTGGGATTACAGGTGTGCGCCTGGCCCAACTTTAAGTATTATCTTTGAAAAATCTCTTTGGTAAATTGATTCATCTATCACTTTTAAAGTTGAGTGGTATAGAAAAACCCTTACACAGAAGCGTGGTCCTGGCCTGGGTTACTGAATAACTCCTGGGCTGGCACACACAGTCATGAGTTGTTCATTAATGAGATTTCAAAACAGAGGATGTGGAACTCCCTCTACCTGGGCGTGGGGAACTGTTTCAAAGAAACTGTCTGTGCTGGTGTCTTCAGAGTGCATACCTCCCATTCATGGACACTTAGGAAGTTCTACAAGAAAAGCGTCTACTTAACAGACGAGGAAACTGAGAATTAGAGTAATTACGGAAAAAAAACTTTCTTGGGGTCTCACAGATGGTAAAACTCCCTGAGAGCAGGAATCACGTTTCTCCTGTTCATTGTTGTATCTTGTTGAAACAAAACGTGAGCCCCTTTAATTCGATTCAATTAATGTATTTATTTTATGGAGATAGGGTCTTGCTATACTGCCCAGGCTGATCTCAAACTTCTGGTCTCAAGCCATCCCTCCGGTCTTGGCCTCCCAAAGTTCTGGAATTACAGGCAGGAGACACTGCACCTGCCCCATGAGCCCCTTTTAAATCAGACATTATCCTGCAGAAATGTCAGTTCCCCCTCAATAAGGGAACCAACATTTCCTTCTGGAAGTGGCTTGCTGCCTGGATTTCTCAGACTAAGATTTAAGTCCCAAAACGGACTGCATTTTGGCTCTCTTTCTCACTTCCTAAGATCCTGGACCTTGAGATGAGGATGGTGGAAACTCCCAGGGTTCCTTGTAACACATCTATTTTGAACACACCCTCAGATTCCTTATGCTTGACTTACCTTTAAAGTTTGTGAAATATTGTTTTAGATAATTGCATAAAATGCTAAAACAATGGCTAGAGTGAGAATTAATGATAGCCCATAAAGCACATCTGCTGAAGTCAATGAATGAGTGGTGAGCCCGTAAAGTTTTGTTTTCTTTGGGTCCATTGTTTCTGGGAGCTCTAACAAGCACCCCTGCCCTCCTAGTGTCTGAGATAAGTGATTTCTTAAGCTTGTCTTTCCACTGCCAGAGCCTGCTCTTAGAGACCTTCTGACTGCTCCCTGAAAGATAAACACCCAGGAAACTTTTTGTTTGGCTAGTCCCCAACAACCCTAGACAGCACCCACTCATAAGGGACACTCGGCAAAGACTTGTGGAGTCAGGTCACAGAGGTTTGGTTTAGAAGTCTCTGCTCTGTCAGAGCTCCAGGGAACCTTCTCAGAAGTGAATCTCTTGAGTCCCCCCACCCCGTAAGTATTGACTAACTACCATGGAAGAAAAAGAAAATTTCTCCTCCTCCCCCT